AGTATCTTACAAATTCTAACTTGTTAACTTAGCATGGCTAATTTATTTCATTCATGCTGTCCTATTTCTGTGATGTTATACTTCTTTAAAATAGATGATTTTATTGAATTTTTAGAAGAACTTCATACACAGTTGGGTATAAACTGAAGACACAGACTTACACAAAGATCTGAAAAAAGATGAAAAATTTTGACTAATAATCCTTTATTAAATTTCTGTATAGTGGCTAAGGAATGAGCTGCACATCTTATCTGATTTTGTTCTACACCTCTTCAATACTGAACTTTGAGAAGGTAAACACTGAGGGTACTAACACATTGCATGACTGTCTTCAGCCAAGTGTGAGAGAATTCCATTGTAGGCAGCATACTTTTTCACTTCTGTGATACCTCTATTTAGATGATCACAAAGAGCTATCAACATCATCATTATCATCAGTTTAGGGTTGTTAAATAGTGTGTAATTGAATAGTTGTGTAATCGCATTAAATGTTCGCAGTTACACAACTATTTGATAGTCCCTGGAGGTAAGGCCAGCAACCCAGTGCACTCCTGCGAGCACTCTACCACTCCGTGCTGGGGATGTTAAAATTAGATTAATCAACTAATTGAATAGTCAATGGAATTTTCATTGCCTATTCGATTAGTCAGGGTGCTTCCGCTTTGAAATGTAGCAAGAGCCCACTGGGCTGTTGCTACATTTCAAAGGTGGAAGTGGTGCCTGGCGTTCCACCTTTGAAACGTATGAGAACTCCAGCAGGGGCTCTTGTGTGTTTCAAAGATTGAAATAGAGCCTGGGGTTAGCGGGGGACTCTCTAAGTCCCCTGCTGGCTCCAGGCTCCATGCAACACTTTGTCTCTGAAATGTATGAGCGCCCCCGCAGGGTATCTTGTGCATTTCAAATGTGGGACGTTGCCGCTGCTCCCCTTTCCCCTCTCCCCTACTTTTAAGCCGGTTCCCCCCAGCAGCCCTTCCTTCTTTTCCCTCCCTTGCTGCCTCTTTCTGATAGAGGCTGCAGGGGAGGGGAAGCGACTAGTTGCTTACATCTTTACCCCGTGCTACTGCCTCTTTGAGGCAGCAGCGCTGGTGGCAGGCGGAAGCCAGTCTGTGAGGGGAGCAGGTTTAAAATCCAGCTGCCTGCGCAGACCCGCTCCCGCCTGCCACTCTGTACAGAGGCTGCAGCATAGCCCCTGTCCATGGTGGGGCGGGGTCTGAGCTCCCTGCAGACAGAGGCTGCTCTGTGCCAGCAGTCTCTGTTTGGTGGCTTTGAGCTCCTCGCAGACAGAGGCTGTTCCACGGCGGCAGCTTCTGTCCATGGGGAGTTCAGACCCCCATGGACACGAGATGCTGCTGCGGACAGCCTCTGTCCACAGTGAGTTTCCCTCTCCCCCAAGCACTGGCTCCCATCTGACTCTACCCCCTACAATCCCCTGCTGCCTGTGTAGGGGGCAGGTGGGTCCGCAGAGCTAGCACGGGGGGAGAGCTGGGAGAGCCTTTGTCAGAGGCAGCAGCATAGGGGTGAGATGGGACTGCAGGCGGATCTGGTGCTCCCGCTTCCCCCTCCCTTGCTGGCTCTGATACAGAAGTAGCAGGAGGGAGAGAATGCGTTTAGTCAACAGGATTAACCCATAAACCTAGGCTTATCGGTTAATCATGTAGTTGTCTACATGTTGATATCCCTACACCAATTTCAGCCTAATTTCAGACTGAAATCTTTGTGTGCACATTACTGTCTGTTGACAGCAAGTCAGATTTGCGAACACATGACCTATATAGTTCACACTTATGCTTCCAAAATAGGCGTATAGTTCTGAAGTGTAAAAATGCTGTCAATTCTTTATACAGGAGTGAAGGGAGCATTATTCTAAATGGGTCAGTAGACTTAAATTAAAGGTTGTAACTTGCTCCAGGACATCGATAAGCAAGAGTCATTGGTATATTGAGCAATAGAACGCAGGCAATGTGGCTCCCAGTCCTGTGCTCTAATCACTAGAATATATGCGTCTCAGAAAGCATAAGCTACAATGTTGGTCTTATGTGAGCTGTTCTGTCTTACTGAAATATTTAGTAATGACCATAAAAAAGTTAAAATGCTATAACAATGTCGTCTTCATCTAATAAAAATGAATACACTTCATTTAACACATTTTTCCCAACAGCATAACTATTTACAATTATTGATTATTTGTTGTAAGTGTTACAATCTTTTCTCCTCCCCCCACCCCCCACTAAACCTTCTCTGTAAATGTCATGGCAAGACCAAGCAGCATCTAGACCAGCAATGGGCAATCAGGAATGGTGAGTGGGCTGCATGAGTAGCCTTCCATCTCAATGGGTCGCAGCAACCAATGGCCAACAGGCTGCAGGTTGCCCATCACTGATCTAGACTGGCAGTTACCAACCACCAGTCCGCAGCCCGTTGCTAGGCTTTGGACCTCTGGCTCTTGGGTTGAAGCAGCTCTGGGGGCTGGGTACACCACTCCTACCATGGCCGTTGGGAGAGGCGTGTCCTGTCCTGCCTCTCAGTCACCCAGCGCCAGGCAGGGGCAGGGTCTCTTCCCAGACATGGAAGAGTGCTTTCCTGTGTGGCAGGAGGACTGCGTGGAGCCTGGCATGGCAGCCTTAGAGCAGCAGTGCTCAGCTGGCACCTAGGAGGCAGCACAGGGCTAGGTGAAGGGGGTAGGGTTAGTGCTGAGGGAACTTTAGTAGGGGCTATAAGAAGCGGGAGGCTGGCACTGGGGGGCTCTTGGGGCAAAGCTAATACTGGGGGGCTCTGGCTGCGGGTCTGGTACTGGTGAACTCTATGAGGTGGTGGATCTAAGAGGTGGGGATGACACTGGGGAAGGCTCTGAGGGGATTGGGTGCAATAGAAACAGGAGGCTGGCATTGAGGAGTCTGGTGGGGGGTCTAAAGGGTGAGGGCTGGCACTGAGACATTTGGGATGGTGGGCTGGCACTGGGGGCAGTGAGCAGGAGGCACTGGCGGGGTTAGGTACAGTGGGTTGGGGGGCTGTGGCCAGTGGCTGGCGCTGGGGGGTAGTGGAGGAGCTGGGGGGCTCTAGAAGTTAGGACTTGCACTGGAGGGGTTGATGGGCCAGGGCTTTGAGTGGACTGGTAACATTTTATTTGGATATTTGCATGTTCATTGTTTGCATAATAAATATGCAAATAAAATGTTGCCAGTCCACCACAAGTTTGTGAATGGGTTTGCTGGTCCCTGGTATAAAAAAGGTTGGGAATCACTGATTTAGACCATCCCTGATAGGTGTCTGTCTATCCTGCTCTTAAAAAGGTCCAGAGACAGATTCCACAATCTCCCTGTGCAATTTATTCCAGTGCTTAACCACGCTGACAAATAGGAAGTTTTTCCAAGTATCCAACCTAAACATCCCTTACTGCAATTTAAGCCCATTTCAATAATTTTTCTCTCTCATTGAAACATTCTTTTAGGTACTTTAAAGTGGATGATATGTCCCCTCTTGGTCGTCTCTTTTTCAGACTAAACAAACCCAATTCTTTCAGCCTTCCCTCCCAGGTCATGTTTTCTAGACCTTTAATAATTTCTGTTGCTCTTCTTGAAACCTTTTCCGGTTTGCACTTTATAGACTAACAGATGTATTGGAGCATAAGATTTCGTGGGCAAAGACCCACTTCGTCAGATGCATGTAGTGGAAATTTCCAGAGGCAGGTATTTATATTTGACTTACAACACTCCTGTTAATACATCCTAGTATGCTTGCACTTTTTTTGCAACAGTATCACACTGTTGACTTACATTTAACTTGTAGTCCACTATGACCTCTAGATACCTTTCTATAGTACCTTTCCTAGACTGTCATTTTCCATTTTGTATGTGTGAAATTGATTGTTCTTCCCAGGTGAAGTACTTTGCATTTGTCAATGTTGATTTAATTCTAGTTTTTGGTTCAGTTCAGAAATTCTAAACATTAAGTCTTGAAAATTCTAAACATTGTCAAGAAAAAAATCAGTTTTGCTTTGCTATGATGGTTGTATGGAAGCTCTGAGAGCCAACTTCAGCATTTGACAGAGTTGCATGATTTCTGTTGCCTCAACAGCCTGTATATCTATCCATGCAATATCACAAGGGTGGGCAATAATTTTAGATTGGGGGGGGGGCACTTCAGAAATTTTTGAAGTGGCCCTGGGTCACCCCGGAAAGGATGGGTCCTCGGGCAGAAAGGGCGGGGCCAGGACACTTTTTGTGACTCTTAAGTACTGCATGCCCCTGGCGGGGGAGGAGACTTCACACGTTACACCATCACCAGGCGCTGATTGGCCTAGCAGGGTGTCTGCAGACCAAATCAACCTGCTTGGCGGGCCAGATCCAGCCCGTGGAGGCCCTTTTGCCCACCCCTTCAGTAACATCTTGTTCCAAATGTTTTTTACATTTCCTGAATGACTGTTGCGAGATCTATCTTTCAAGGTGAAGGATGTCAGAAAAGTCACAGCCTGTATTGCCTATGACTAGGATTTCCCTCAGTGGCCTTTTTCTAGCACTCTTTCTGAATGCTGTAATTAATTCTCCTCCCTTCCATTGGCTAGATTTTTATTATCTATAAGCATAGACTTAGATGTCAATGGACAGATGGTATTATTATGCAGGAAGTACTTTTTCTAAAACAAGAATAAAATGTTATGTATTCTTTTTTTTAAAAAGGAGACACAAAGTGGTAAGCGAGGCATTATTAATAATAATAATAATAATAAATATTAGACCAACTTCTGTATGAGTCAAGCTTTTGAGTTTACACAGAGTTGCTCTTCAGATCTAGGAAATAGACTTAGAATGCCATAGAAGAATATTTGTATGTGCTAATGAACAATTATATAATCCACAAATATTGCATTATTGAAACTATTGAGAGCTATTGGTTTTGTTTTTAAAAATCGCTTTCACGGACACATTTATTCTTTGATCCTATCATTATTTCTTTTGTTTAGATACTTCAAATAATTCATTGACCAAACCTTACTCTTTCAGTGTAGAGATCGGTGAAAGTGTGAGAGGGGAAGATGTGTACATCATCCAGAGTGGCTGTGGAGAAATCAATGATAACTTGATGGAACTTCTCATAATGATCAATGCTTGCAAGATTGCATCATCATCCAGAGTGACTGCAGTAATTCCATGTTTTCCATATGCGAGGCAAGATAAGAAAGACAAGGTAGGTGAGGTGAGGTGTATTGTATTATTTAATAGTACATTTCATTAACGTTGTCTTGAAAGGTCCCGGGCTGGATGGCCCATGGGCTGGATCTGGCCCCCCGCTTGCCTTGATCTGGCCCATGAGTCTTGGGGCTCCCCCTGTCCATGGTGGGGAGAGTCTGCGCCCCCTACATGCCTGGAGTATGCAAGTTCTCCACTGTAAGGGGATGTAATGGGGAGCCTGGTGCAAAAACTCCTGCATGGCTGATTTCTGACTAGCAGAGGTTGGGTGGGGGAGGAAGAGGCTCTGTATACTATTGTTCCTTCTTCCCCCAGCTGGGGGAACAGCAGCACAGGGAAGTGCTGTCCTGCAGGCTCCACCCCCGTTGCTCCCATTAGCTGGAAATCATGGCCAATAGGAGCAGCCAGGGGTGTGTGTGCCTGCAAACACAGGGCAGCACAGAGCCACATGTGCAACCCCCTCCTCCCTGGAAAGTGCCTCATCCCCTCCTCCCTCTTGCATCTTCCCTGCCTCTTAAACCCCCCAGCCTGCTCCTCACCCTCCGTCCCTCCCAGACACAACACTCCCATCCCACTCCTGCACCCAGATGCTGCACCTCCAGCCCAGACCATGCATACACCCCCCATTCCTATGTCAATTTGCTCACGTGCCCACATCCACAGTGACAGTATGTCTGCAGATTCCAGGGCACATGGCGGCCTGCACATATGTCATGCCCCTCGCCAGGCTCAGGATGAGGCTCCTCCAGGTGTGGCTAGTGTCCACATATGCTGTGGCCAGACATTCACTGGAAAAGGTGGTGAGAATTCCATATCCCATCTTGCGGACTCTAGAGAAGTAGACTATGAGGCTATGTCTAGACTGCAGGCTTCTTTCGAAAGAGGCTCTTTCGAAAGCATCTTTCGAAAGAGCCTTTTTCGAAAGATCGCGTCTAGACTGCAGGCGGATCTTTCGAAAGAGCAATCCGCTTTTTCGAAAGAGAGCACCCAGCGAGTCTGGATGCTCTCTTTCGAGGAAGCCCTATTTACATTGAAGAACGCCTTCTTTCGAAAGAGGAACTTTCGAAAGAAGGCGTTCTTCCTCGTGAAACGAGGTTTACCGCCATCGAAAGAAAAGCCGCGTTCTTTCGAAATAATTTCGAAAGAACGCGGCTTGAGTCTGGACGCAGGGGAAGTTTTTTCGGGAAAAGGCTACTTTTCCCGAAAAAACCCCTGAGTCTGGACACAGCCTGAGAGAATACATCATGTCTGGGATTCCCTTCCACCAGCAACTGCACTCAAGGGAGCTAGTAGCCAACACTTCCTTCCTTGCTATACATGTATGTCACTTCAATAAAACTGGTAGGGGAAAAAAACTGTGGCCAAAAACTAGCGGAATCGGGTAACCCTGCACGTGGACAGCAAACGGTTGTATGTACTGTTGTAAGAAGGTGGTACCTGCAATTCTTTTGGCACTGTCTTTACCTACATCATCCTCCGAGATGCCTTTGGTTCTGGATAAACAGTCTAAGTGCCTCCTAAGACATCCTCATCAGTACCAAATATATCTACCAGGAAAGACCTGCTGGAATATATGTCCTCTATACCAATCGTGGATTGTGGCCCATAACTCGAATTCTAGAGACCACTTTGTTTCTGATTAAAACAGAGACTCCCTAGCTAGTGGTACTTCTGGGAGAATTCTGGGCCAAAATTCTGCATTTTGTGTGTCAAAATAGTGCAACATAATCACTTCAGTTTCACTTATTTAAGCTAGCTTACAGGGAAAAATCATCACAATAACTTCAGTGTATCCTACCTAAACACTTGAAAGTTAAGTTACAAATGCTTGGTAACCAAGACCCTGCATTCCAGTTATAATCCTGGATTTTCATTTAAATCGTATTAATTTTATTTTAGTAGTTGGTGTTCTGTAAAGTAGAATGTTCTTTAAATTGCTCAGACATTCATACAAGAAAATTATACAAGTTTGCTAATCATTGTCCTGCATGTTTTTAAATAAATAAGTAAAATAGACCCTCAGATGTAATCTAATCCTATTATGTTTTTCTGGCATGGGGGGGAAAAAATAAGCTGGAAAGCACACACGCCTTCCTTGCTGAGAATTCAGTTAGGCTATGTCAAGACTACAGTACGTGGAAGTTCCAAAAGAGGATATGCAAATTCCGTGGGAATTTTCAAATCTCACTTTCGAAAGCGCTGCTGGGAGCCGTTTTTTTGCGACCTCTCCCCTTTTTTGAAAAGCTGCTCTTCCTCAAAAAATTAGGTTTACGCGGCTTTTTGAAAAAGCGGGGGGGAGTTGCCAAAAAACCGTGTCCCAACTACTTTCACTTTCAAAAGTTCCTCTTTCGGAACTTCGGCATAGTCTAGACAAGCCTTTACTGTCATTTAAAATAAAGCGACTTTACACCATCTGGCAAGGTTAAAGGAGCCTTAATATATTAGAATAATTAAAGAATATTAACAGCCTGCCTGTTTAGCTGTTACATACTACTTGTCCTAATTTCAGTGGACACAGAGAACAATTGATTACGGACCTCTGTATAATAGCCCTTAACTTATTTGAAAACTGCAATCAGGTCCCCCTTCAGTCTTCTTTTCTCAAGGCTAAAATGCCCTATGTTTAACCTTTCCTCATAGCTAAAGGTTTCAAAATTTATAATTATTTTGCTCTCCTGTGGACAAACTGGAAAGAACCCACAGCTTATATTTGGCACCCAGAATTGTACACAGTATTTCAGGTGAAACTTCAGCAAAGCCAAATAGAGGGGATAGTTATTCACACTATGGATGTTAAATTTAGATTAATTGGGTAAGTGAATAGTCGATGCAATTTGCATTGACTATTTGATTAGTCGATAACAGTGCCTTTGCCTTTGAAGTGTAGCAACTTGCGCAAAAAGTCGTATTCCTCGTGGGGAGAGAAATAACTCCTGCACAAAGAGCCCTGTGTTCTTACGCTTTACTGTAGTTTTTCTTGCACAAGAACAGGCTTGTAGTGTGGACGCTCTGCAAGGTTTTGCTCAAAAACGGCTATTTGGGCGCAAAAACTGCAGTGTGAACGTAGCCTGAATGTCTGTCTTAGCTGGTTTAGATTTCTTTTCTCCCATCCCCTTACCTTTCCATGATTTACCTGGAAATAAGTAGAATGAGCAAACTGATTTATACAACATTCAGAAGTAATATCTATCAAGGTCTCATAGGTTTTATAGCAAGACTTGCCACTAAATGTTTAACTCAGATACATTTCTGGAAAATAAGGAATTACTCAAATAGAAAAAGACACACTTTTGTTGTTTGTAGCTTCTGTACCGATTTTGTCATTTGCCTCATTTCTTGATTCCATTTATCATCTTCTTCATTGACTTTACATAGTATTGTTATTTCTTTAGTTCTGTCTGAAATTAAGAAACAATATCAGGTTGTTACATTGCAGAAGATTTAAAGAGAAATTGCTAAATGTGTACTTAATCATGTAAGTCTCACATTTAATTTGACTAAATAGCTTTTTACAATTTTGTAAAACCTATGGCTTTTTCCTCAGAGTCGTGCTCCAATCTCTGCAAAACTTGTTGCCAATATGCTGTCAGTTGCTGGGGCTGACCACATCATCACCATGGATTTGCATGCTTCTCAGATACAGGTAATTACAAACTCTTGTTTACTGTAGCTAAAAGCTTCTCTATTGAGTTAATGTGATAGGTTAACTCTTTGCCAGACCACATTCTTTTTTCTGCTTTTCTCATAGGTGTGAGAGAGGCTATTCAAAAGGAGAATTCTGAGGCTTCAGGGAGAAGAGAAATTGTCTCAAATATTATTTAAATATACAGTTTAATGCAAAATTTAAGAGAAACAAATCTTGCTTCTGGATAGAGAGTAGGAATGTTCAATATATCGAGTAATTGACTAACTGAATAGTCAGTGCATTTTACATCCATTATTCAATTAGTCGATAGGGCTGTTGCTACACTTGTAAGGTGAAAGTGCTGTGTGGAGCCCAGGATCAGCTGGGGAATCCCCTGCTGTCCCTGGGCTTCATGTGGCACTGCCACTTTGAAATGCTGTATGGAGCCCAGCATCAGGCTCTTTGCAGCTTTCAAAGCAGCACTGGCGCTGCTGCTTTGAAACTCTGCATGCAACCTGGGGACACCCCAGCTGGCCCCAGACTCCACAGGGAGCTGCCACTTTGAAGTACCCCCTCCATGCTGCCTCTTTATGATAGAGGCAGCATGCAGGGGGAGTGACTAGTTAACTAGCCTGCCAACTATCTGATAAGCATTTCACATCATTAATTCATATATATGAGTCTGTATGTGTATGAATGTAAATCTAAGGAGTTTGATAGAATTGTGTAAAACTGCAAAGTGTACTAGAATCCACAGCATGTACAGTACACAGGCAGACCTTCCATTATAGTGTTTATAAAATAAATAGTCCAACTGAAGTATTTTGCTGATATAATAGGATCTTATATAGGGGATTTTAGTCTTGCATTCAATTAATACTCAGTATGTAATAGTAAGATATGAAACTTTTTTCACTTCTGTTTTGTCAATTATGTGTTAGTCAAGAGTTGATAGCTTTAGGTAGAACCAGACATGCAGGATAGTCATTGTTCAATGTCTCAACACCCCACACTATGAAGATGTCTTATTTCTTACTAGCAAATGCCTACTTTTTCCAGTCTTGATGTTTAACCAGAACTGTCAATCACAGAAAATTTAAAAGTGTGGACCAAAATCCTTTTTTACTTGTAATCAAGCCTTATTTTTTCCAGAGGTGGGAGACTATTGCATTGCAACCTTGTTCAAGAATTATAGGGGGAGGGGTGAAATGGTTCATTAGTCTGTTGATGCTAATTTGTATCTTCCCAGTCTTGAAATACCACTGTTCATTTCCAGGAGTTATTTTTTAATTAATTTTTTACTTTAAATATAATAGATGTTGCTTTTAGCTGAAGTTCCTTTTTTTTAGATAAAGCTTTTTCTGAGAATGAATTACTTAGGTATGTACTTATGTGCTTACGGCTTCTTTCCCTCACAAAGAATTACCCTCTGGCTTTTATAGTACAGGCAGTCCCTGGGTTACATGGGTCTGACTTACATTGGATCCCTACTTACAAACGGGGTGAGGCAACCCCGCTCTAGCTGCTTCCCCCCAGCGGACCAGGGAGACGCGAAGCTAGCGCCCCCCCCCCCGCAGCAGACCAGGGAGACGTGGAGCGGCTTTTCTCAGCAGACACCTCAGCTTGAGAATAAAGGACTGAGAGAAGTGAGGTGTAGGAGAATAAAACTGAGCTCTGGAGAAATGTTTGGCTAGAGTTTCCCCTACAATATGTACCAGTTCCGACTTACATACAAATTCAACTTAAGAACAAACCTACAGTCCCTATCTTGTACGTAACCTGGGGACTGCCTGTATAAAGTCATTAGTGATTCTTTGCTCTCCCTTTATAACAGTCAAGTGCTACGTGTTGACCTAACTATTCCCCCATTGAAATTAGTGTGAATTTTACTACTAACTTCAGTGAGAGCAGAATTAGGCCAGTGTAAAACACTGTTTTGAAAATCCTGCCCTTCATGTTTATGTTGACCAAGTGATTGTATGTTTTCTGATGCTTTTATTCTACATACAGTGGTAGAAAGCAAACAGATGTTAAGAACTGTTGTTTTCTGTTTGTATTCAGGGTTTCTTTGATATTCCAGTGGATAACCTGTATGCAGAACCTGCAGTATTGCAATGGATTAAAGAGAACATTTTGGAATGGAGAAACTGTATCATAGTCTCACCTGATGCAGGTGGAGCAAAAAGGTAAAGTGCAAATTACAAATTGTCTGAGATCAATTATGAATATATAGTCCCTTTTACAGAAAGGAATGCTTTGCCCATACTACTTGGTTGATTTTTATTTGTTTTATCACTGAAAATAGTATGAGGCAGTGGCTATCAATGCTGATGACTCCAGTTCCATTGCAATGAAACAATAGACCATCCGATGTAGTTCATGCTTGGTTGTATCTAGGAATTTTCTGTACTCTAAAGAAAATATTTTCTCTTTCTCCCTGAATATGGCCTCATTAGCTAAGTCCCTGTGAGGAAAGAGGTTTTTCCTGCTGTTTGTTCCTTTAGTGCAACTGCTGCACCTCTTCCTGCTTCTCTCTGGAGCTACATAAATTTCCCTTCTCTATTCAAGCATACGGCCTACCCTCACTGTACCTGCTGGAGTTTAGGTAAGAGCATACTTGAGTCATGTTTCTTTTTTAAAAAGAGTTGATACATTCCTGACTGAAAACCTATTGACTCAAGTTTAGTGATGTATAATGAGAAAAATAATCTGGAAACACTGAGCAATCTTGGGGAAAAGGGAAGAAATGTGGAGATGTTAAATTAATGGAATACTACAAGTATGGCATCCGTTATTACTTATTCAGGAGATCATCTTTTGTTTGATTCTAGTTAAGTCCTTGCCAGAGGAGGTTGTGAAAACCAGGACTTTAACAGGGTTCAGGAAGGAACTAGATACATTTAAGAAGGTTGGGTCCATCAGTAATTATTAGCTAAAATGGATAAGAATGATATCCCTAGCCTCTGTTTGACAGAGATTGGAAACAGATGACAGGAGAGGGATCACTTGATGATTACTTGTCTCTGTCAACTCCCTCTGGGTCATTTGGCATTGGCTACTGTTGGAAGACAGGACACTGGGCAGAATTAATGTGACCTTTTCTCTGACCCAGTATGGCCGTTCTTACGTTACGTTGTTAAGTACAAATTAATGTCAAAATTCAGAAGCATGCTCTCTGTGCAGTGACAAAGTACTCCATATAGGTGGACCTCTTCTCAGATAGAGGTAGGTCGATCATTCTGGTCATAAGAAATCGCTGCCCATCCACTGGAAACTTAGTAATTGTGGCAGGGAGCGGGAGAACAATTAGGTCATCTAGTTCCTCTTATTTCCAGTGAAGGACTGCCATAAAACAGACCTTACCAAAGCCTCATGTTTGTCACGAGTTTAAATGATAAACAGCAGAAAGAGATGGGGCTCACTTGGCTATTTAATGTACATATAATCTATTTTGAAGAATGAAGTTACAAATTTCTGTAAGAAGCATTCCAAAAGATAATCTAGTAAATTAGGCAGACTTCCTTTTTGTTCCTTCTCCCCATCAGCCTAAAACAACTCAGTCTTGTGGTAGAATTCACCAAGTGGCAGGAAAGCTGTCTGGCAAACTTCTTTGTATATTTTATCAAATTATTTACTTACAAGGGCTTTTTTACAAAAAAATTTGCTTGTATTTAGCATGACTTATTTTATGACATGAAGATATGCTAAGTAAATCAGATACTGCCTCTTGAATGCTTTTCCCCACTTCTTCCAGATGAAAAAACAGAGACATTTATGCATGTTACCTAACTACTTACCATTTTGTGTATGGAGGAGAAAACTGCCTATACAGGTGACCCCTGACTTACAACTGCCCGACTTATGCCCTCACCCCGCATTTACAACCGCCCTGCGCCAGCCCAGTGTGTCCTCTCAAGCCCAGCGCTGAAGACTACAGCTCCCAGGAGGCAAAGCAGGCAGTGTTTGAACTGGTGCTTCTTGCACTCTGAGGACTACAACTCACAGGAGGCAAAGTGTGAGTGGCGTTTGAACTGGCGCTCTGCCAGGCCGGGGCCTTGACCTGGGCCCTGATCAGTGCTGCTGTGGGCCTGGGACATGTGTGCACTGTGTCTCTAGTGACCTCCCTGCTCCGGCCCAGCATGGCATCTCAAACCTGGGACATTTGTGTGGCCTGTCCCTAGCGATTGCTCTTTTCCGGCCCAGCATGGCCTCTCAAGCCCGACATGCTGGGGACTACAACTCCCAGGAGACAAAGCAGGCCAGGAACGGAACCTCTACGTATAACATTGTACCTATCGGAAATCACAGAATACTAGGACTGAAAGGGACCTCGAGAGGTCATCGAGTCCAGTCCCCTGCCTTCATGGTAGGACCAAATACTGTCTAGACCATTCCTGATAGACATTTATCTAACCTACTCTTAAATATCTCCAGAGATGGGGATTCCACAACCTCTCTGGGCAATTGATTCCAGTGTTTGACCACCCTGACAGTTAGGAACTTTTTCCTAATGTCCAACCTAAACCTCTCTTGCTGCAGTTTAAGCCCATTGCTTCTTGTTCTATCCTCAGAGGCCAAGGTGAACAAGTTTTCTCCCTCCTCCTTATGACACCCTTTCTGATGCCTGAAAACAGCTAGTATATCCCCCCTCAATCTTCTCTTTTCTAAACTAAACAAACCCAATTCTTTCAGCCTTCCTTCATAGGTCATGTTCTCTAGACATTTAATCATTCTTGTTGCTCTTCTCTGGACCCTCTCCAATTTCTCCACATCTTTCTTGAAATGCGGTGCCCAGAACTGGATACAATACTCTAACTGAGGCCTAACCAGTGCAGAATAGAGCGGAAGAATGACTTCTCATGTCTTGCTCACAACACACCTGTTAATGCATCCCAGAATCATGTTTGCTTTATTTGCAACAGCATCACACTGCTGACTCCTATTCAGCTTGTGGTCCGCTATAACCCTAGATCCCTTTCTGCCGTACTGCTTCCTAGACAGTTGCTTCCCGTTCTGTATGTGTGAAACTGATTGTTCCTTCCTAAGTGGAGCACTTTGCATTTGTCTTTATTAAACTTCATCCTGTTTACCTCAGACAATTTATCCAATTTGTCCAGGTCATTTTGAATTATGACCCTATCCTCCAGAGCAGTTGCAACCCCTCCCAACTTGGTATCAACCGCAAACTTAATAAGCGTACTTTCTATGCCAATATCTAAATTGTTGCTGAAGATATTGAAGCGAGCCAGTCCCAAAACAGACCCTTGCAATGACAGTTTTTTGACTGTAAACTATATAACTTTTTGATGGAATAAACTACAGAAAGATTAAAGTCATTTGTGTAGTTATTTTTCACATGCCTGCTGTTTGGTATGAAATAAATCTACAACTAAACCACTGAAGCTAGTAGTTATTGTAAGCTTCTTGTGTCAGACATCCTAAAAGTCTAGGCAACTTCTTTTAAAGACTCTCAAATAAGAGAAATTCCCTTGACAAGAAATATCTAAACCCAAATAAGGGTTCATAGAATCATAGGACTGGAAGGGACCTCGAGAGGTCATCGAGTCCAGCCCCCCGCCCTCAAGGCAGGACCAAGCTCTGTCTACACCATCTTACAATGATTCTCCAGGAACCCATTAGGTCTTAAGTGTGGTAGTCGCCTGTACAAGGTTTGCATTTAAAAGTGGATTTCTAACAATAGTTAACAGTAACACAAGTTACTGGAAGAGCAGCATGTTATATATAAGGTCTTTTATGAATATTTGAAGGGATAGAAGGGCTCCTATACAGAAGAACCCCATTTATCAGACTTTACAGGATGGGATCTGTCCAATTTATCTGGATTTCTGATTATCCAAATTGGTCCCAGTGAGTGTGGATAAATGGGGTTCTGCTGTATATAATGGAGACAAGGCGGGTGAGGTAATATCTGTTATTGCAATGGCTCCCAAGCATTTTGATACGGGGGACCGGCAAACTTTTGGCAGACCGGTAACATGTTATTTGCAAATGACGAATACGCAAATGAAACGTTCATGATCCACCAAAAGCCGAGCCCCCAGAGAGAGTCCCAGTGCCAGTCCTAACCCTAAATTGCTCCACTACCTCCTGCTCCTGCCACTGACCCCAAAATCCCCTGTACCAACCCCCCCGTGCCAGCCTCTTGCCCTCAAAGTACCCTATTGTCAGCCCCCCATCCCAAATGCCTCAGTGCCAGCCCTCTGCCCCGTAGCGCCCCACCACCACCACCAGACCGCCTGGTACCAGACTCTTGTTTCCAGAGCCCCACTGCACCCAACTCCCCAGAGCCTCCCCCAGTATATTAGCTCCATCCCCAGTGCCAGCCCTACTCCTACAGCTCCCCCCTACTAGCTCAGCCTCGAGAGCCCCCCAGCACTAGCCCTGCCCCTGGAGACCCCAGTGCCTGCCTGGTCCCCCTCATCTAGCACTGCTTTGGTGCCCACGTTGCGATGGTTCTAGGGGCTGCAGTACACTGCTCAGCACCTCTCCTGCTGCCATGGCTGTAGGGAGAGGCGTGTCTTGCCCCGCCTTTCAGTCAACCAGTGTCGGGCAGGGGCTGGGTCTCCTCTGGCTGCCGAAGAACTAACTTCCCTGCCCAGCAGGAGGACTGTGCAGTGTGGGGCTTCCTCCTGGTCACAGCAGAGTGGTTCCCTGTACGGTGGGAGGGCCGCATGGAGCAGCTGCACGCAACCCTCCCACTGCGCAGGGAGCCACTCTTCTGCATCCTGAAGGAAACCCCACTCTGCCCAGCACTGGTTGGCTGAGAGGCAGGACAGAACACGCCTCTCCCAATGGCTGCGATGATAGTGGTGTACCCCTGCCCCCAGGGCCACCGTGGCCCAGTAGCCAGAGATGCGTGGCCTGACAGTGGGTTGCAGCCTGGCAGTTGGGAATCGCTGTGTTATTGGACCAACTGCTGAGGTGAAACGTGAAGAAGAGCTCTGTGTAAGCCTGAATGCTTGTGTTTGTCACCGACAAAAGTTAGCAATAAAGCCATTACAAATATTTTATGCCTGAAGTTAGGCATAAAACTTTGTTGATATTTGTGCCCCTGCATTCTCAAGACTTGTGAGAATATGTGCTTCTGTGTACAGAGTTGTTATAACACTTTGACTTCTCCCTTGTGGTTAGAAAGATGGCATTTTGAGATTATATTTGAAAGAGGACACCCTCTGGAAACTAAAATCTAATATTGGTGGTTCTTCTAGATGTGTGTCCCTGTGGGAGCTCCATTGTTGGTGTCAGGTCGTCCTGGCGCTGCAGCTCGGAGTTTTCATGAGCAGTAGTCAGCCAGACTGTGCATGTGTGGCACGTGCCTCATGCCGTTCGTGCCCTTTTGATCACTTGCGTGGTCCAGCTTTCGCCAGTTCCTCCTTTGCCACCCACGGTTGCAGACGGAGCAAACCTTCTCTCCTAGCAGAATTCTTTCAGGAGTCAAAAGAATCTCTTCTTCTTAAGTTGTGGTTTTAGAAAAGACCCTACTTCTGGAAGATTGATTGCCTTCAATAGGCCACTGTCTTTATTGATACATAAGTGAGACAGATTTTATTAGATAAATTGAATATTGGTGTGGGGAATACACAAAATGCTACCATCTAACCAAAAATACTTTGTAAAAAAACCCTTAACTTAAAAAAAAACCTTTTCATATTTATTTTTTTAAAACAATCTTGTCAAAAGTTTATTTATTTTAGTGGAGATCAGTATGTCCACAAGAGGTCACTCTTACCATCCTATAAAATTGTCAGTAATTAAAAGTAGTGTGTAGTGAATATTCTGAATTACTAACCACATGCTGAACATTAGAAAACAAAACAGGTCCTCATTTACTTCAATATACAAGAGGCTGTAAGGTTGTTAATTAAAAAAAGCTATGGTACTATCCATTTCAGTTGAAATAGTTTTTAAACACGAAGCTTTTTAACATATTATGGCTTTTCTAATATTATTAGACAGTGCCATTTTTATAAATAGCCTCAATTCTGAATTTACTTTTCTCTGTCATCTTTAACTCACGTAGTTGTGTTTAAATATTGTAACAATCTACTAGAAGCTTATGAATAGCTGGCATGTATGGTATATGCACAATACTTGCCAACAAGATACTACCAAACCTAAACTGGATTTGTCTGATGTGCAATATTTGTTCTGTAATAATAACTTCAATATTACTTTTAAAACCTCCTTTTCTTGAAGTGAACAGTCTGTATAAATAATTTAACATTTAATATTAAATGCTGTTTTTTAGCTAATGAGATAGGTTTCCTACTTACATATAGCTTTTCTAGTTTGTCCTAATAAAAACATAACTTGTTCTTTCCATCCCTTTGCAAAATATGTGCTGGTCCCCCTAGAATAGGAATGGGAAAGATATGGCCTGCCAAACCATTTGATCTGGCCTGTGCCCGCCATGCTGCACTCCCAGCCCTAAGCCAATAGAGACCCAGGAGCAAGGGGAATATTCAAAGTGGCTGGTGGCTCCCTCCCCCCACCAGGGATGCATAAGAACATAAGAATGGCAATACTGGGTCAGACCAAAGTTCCATGCAGCCCAGTATCCTGTCTGCCGACAGCAGCCAATGCCAGGTACTGTAGAGGCAGTGAACCAAACAGGTAATGATCAAGCAATCTCTCTCCTGCCATCCGTCTCCTGTATGATGCATAGAGGGAGCCACCAACCACTTTGAACAGCGAATGACTTTGTATACTCTTCCACCCGCAGGTACCTATTGGCCTAGGGGTGGGGGAGTGTGCAAAATCTCCTCTCCCTGCCAGGGGCACATGGTGTCTAGAAAGAACTACTCAAGGGCCCCACCCTTTCTGCTTAAGCCTACCTTTTTGGAGGAGGTTGGGGGGGGGGGGAGAGCTGGTCCACAACCACTACCAAAATTGGTGAAGTGGCCCCCCCTGCAAAAATTATTGCCCTGCCTGCTCTAGAAAGTCTTTCTTTTGGGATGGCCATCTAAAGTTTTCAGTACCCCACAGCACACCCTTGTTGTTTCTTTTTGTAGTGCTGAAGAAATGATCAGACAACAGGCTTATTTTCTTTTCATATCATCCAGCTATATTAAGGGAACATGTGGGTTTGTCTTTGCAAAGTCTGCTTGTAGCACTAGGCTTTAAACAGCTGTTTGCTTGGCTTATGCTCAAGCCCAGTTCTCTGGTTTACAGTGCTTTGTAGTAAACCCTTAAACATATGTCTTTATAATACAAATATGAGTAGACAATGTTAAGTCATAAATGTAATTTATTATAAGTGAACTACTGACTTAAATTCTTTTTCGGTATCTGAGTGGGGAAGAAGATGGTGTGTGGGAATTAGTAACTAATCTGTATTTTTTCCAGATCAAAATGTGTTTTCTGACATATGGACTCTTTACACTGGGGACGGGATGAATACTCTAGGGATGAACACTCTTTTTCATCCATATAAAAACACCAGGGGATTATTAATTCTGCTGTGTGCCCCAAATATTGCTAAACATTAATTTTACCATGGACGCATGCAAATTCTTTCTCTAGTTTCTGAAAGTGTATTTTAAAAACATTGTATCTTTCTTACATCTTAGGGTTACTTCAATTGCAGATAGACTGAATGTTGAATTTGCTCTGATTCACAAGGAGAGAAAGAAAGCAAATGAAGTGGACAGAATGGTATTGGTTGGTGATGTGAAAGATAGGATAGCTATTCTTGTTGATGACATGGCTGACACATGTGGCACAATATGTCATGCAGCAGACAAGTAAGTATTGTTCCAGAGTGGTGACTGTAGAGTGGGGTACTGGTTTAATCTATTGTGAATTGTCCAAATTGGTTTGTCCCCCATGCTTTCATTTTGGCTGGATCTGGATAGTGTCTGGGTCTATGGGCACACTCCGAGCCTCAGACCTCATGTCTGACTTCTTCCTTAGGAAGTGGAGTGCCATCATCTCTGGACCTCAAAATCAGTGTCTCCATTATTGCTTATACAGGCTCTCTTAGAGCTCCAGCTAGGGTGTGTTTTGAGTTTCTAGTCTGACTCCTTCAGGGACAATGTAGTAGAAAAGCAAGGAACACAGGCTTTGGTTTTGTCTACTCTTAATAGTTTAAAGTATAGCTGCTGCAGCGCTTTAAATTGAAAGCGTGACCACAGTACAAGCACTAAGAAAGCTCTCTCCCAGCACTCTATGTAAATGACCTCTGCCAGGGGAGTAGCTAACAGAGCTGGGAGTATAGCTTGTACCGTTGTAGCATGGCTTAAACTGGTGCCTTACAGCACTGTAATTTGCTGCACTGAGGGGAGGAGGATGTTTTTTCACATCTCCGAGCCACAAAGTTACAGTGCTGTAAAGTGCCAATGTAGACTTGACCTTAGCAAAGAAATTTCGTAACCACAGTGACTTTACACTTAAAGCTCATGACAGTTATAGATCTTTGCAAATAGAACTCCTGGAATATACTCTGCCCTAATCTGATTTGACCGCTTCTGGAAATCTAAGATTTGTCAGTATTTTGGGTTGGGCAGAATCCCTCATGCATGTCCTTTTTACTTGCGGAGGATCAATGCTCCCTTCACTGACCACAACCCCACTTTGAGCTATTTTCTCCTGCCCCATGAGTTGTGCATAACTCTTCTTGTGGATCTCTAGAGAAACTATCATCCCATGGTTGTGGGCCTGAAATGAGGGACTCAGTGGCCCTACATTGCTGAGTTATGACTTTTAGTACTCTTCAATGAGGTGTCAGACACCCTCCCTGAGTGAGGCAGCTGCCTGGAATGAAGTAAAATAGGCTATTCTTGGGCATGTCCAGGTTTGTGTTTTCACAGTACCTGGTACTTCCATGCCATAGCACAAGTGAAACTTCACATGCATAAAGTTACTTGTGCTTAAAAAGTTGCAGGAATGAGATCTCAGGCTATGAATTCAGCAAGGCTGAAAAGCTTTATTTCCTGTGTTCATAGGGCACCTAGAAGAACAGACCCCTTTTGAGGACCTTTGCTGTTAAAATATATAAAATTATCTGATATCACTTGAGATTTTGGAATCCTGTGGATAGTCCTCTGAAAACATTCCCTCAGTGTGCAGTGGCAGTCAAAAATAACTAACAGAATGTTGGGAATCATTAAGAAAAGCGATAGATAATTAGACCAAAAATATTGCCTCTCTGTAAATCCATGGTATGCTCATATCTTGAATATTATGCAAATAATTGGTTAACCCATCTCAAAAAAGATGTGTTGGCATTGGAAAAGCTGCAGAAAAGGGCAACAAAAATGGTTGTTAATTCTTCCAGATGAAGAGAGATTAATAAAATTAGGACTTCTGCTTGGAAAAGTGACAACAAAGGGGAAATATAGTAGAGGTCTATAAAATCATGACTGGTGTGGAGAAAGTAAGTAAGTGATATGTATTCCTCCTTGTACCACAAGAACTAGGGGTCACCAAATTAAATTAATAGGCAGCAGGTTTAAAATAAAGGGTAGTCTGTCTTCACCCAGCAAACAGTCAACCTGAGGAATTCTTTGCCAGAGAATGTTGTGAAGGCCACGCCTATAACAGGATAAAAAGGAATTAGATAATTTGATGGAAGATAGGTCCCATCAGTTGCTATCAGGATAGGCCGGGCTACAAAGCCATGCTCTGAAGTGTCCCTAGCCTCTGTTTGCCAGATGCAGGAAATGGGTATCAGATAGGGATTTGAAAGTTTAACTACGTAACTGGTTAAACTTAAGCCTGGGCTTATTGGTTTGTGTTATATGCAGGCTCCTGCCCTGCACCTGGTGAGACGGCTGCCACCCTGTGCTCCTGCCTCTGATACAGTGCAGAAAAGGGATAGTAGCCAGCTCCCTGGGAGCAGAGCTGTAGGCGGGAGCCAGGGCATGCTGATACAGAGGCAACAGTGCAGGGACAGCAGACGGGAGCCAGTGTGTTCCAGCTCCCAGGGAGCTGGCTGCAACCCCACACTATGGGTGAGGGTAACCATGTAACTACTGAGATTTTCAGCAGTTACATGTTTACCCAATTACCTGCTTTTTAACATCCCTAGTGACAGGTTCTGTTCATTACCTCTGAAGCACCTAGCATTGACCACTGTTTTTGAAAGATGGTTACTGGGCTAGATGGACCATTGGGCTAACCCAGTATGGCCATTCTTGTGTTCTTACAATGCAAATAATAAATGTTCATGTTGTGTGAAAAAACACTTAGAAGAATTCTCAAAGAAAAATAGGAAAAACAATTTGGTTGTGTTTTGGCTATTACAAATCCTGGTCAATCTAATGTAGGAATGGGGGAACTATGGCTCTCAGGGCTCCCCCCTCCTGCAGCGGGGTGAGCAGGCACTGGCATTCCAGACACATGGGGGACTCCTCGCTGTGCCAGCCCTGTTGCTGCCAGCCTCAGCTAGGGTGGCAGTCACCAGCCCTGGCCTAGGCATTGCCAGAGCTGTGCTCCAGACCTTGGCCATCCCCTGTTCCTAGCCACAGGGGATCTTTGGTCCAGCAGCATCTGTGGTCTTGCAGGACCACCAATGTTGGCAGACCAGAGAGTCCCAGATTTTAGAAGTTCAACCCCTTCCTAAAGCAGTTACATATAAATTTCATAACACACAAATTATATTTTAAAACATTGGACTTCAAAGGTGTTACAGGTTATTAAATTAAATTTATCAGGGTATTGTGTATCCGTCATGCATCAAACTAGCAGATACTCAACTACACTATATTTTGGTACTCTACTGAAGGAATCCATATTTGAACTGGATCATAAACCAAGAGATATCTAATTTTGCTATTTCCTAAGTAACACTAGACTTACGTGCTTAAATACACATTGCAAACTTTTCTGGTTTTCTCCATGTTTTTTAGGTTAGTGTCTGCTGGAGCCACTAAAGTTTATGCTATTCTGACTCATGGAATCTTCTCGGGCCCTGCTATTTCTCGGATCAATAATGCTGCATTTGAGGCAGTTGTAGTAACTAACACAATCCCACAGGATGAGAAAATGAAACACTGTCCCAAGATTCAGGTACTGTGTTGTTTGTTTGGTGTAGCTTTTCATCTGCTTGATAAAATGCAAATCTAGAATTCAGTTCTTGATGCTAAGATCTCATGCCAGTGACATTAAAGATTTATTCACAAATTCACTGGACAATTGTCTTGTTTGTAGATCTTATTCTTAAATTACACTGAAGAATTTGACTCTCCCTTTAAAATAGTGTTGTGAAATCTAGAAAGTTTAAAAAAGAATAATATTCTGCAGCTGTCTCTGAATACCTCTGCTAATGTTGGAGAGTGAGGGGTACATTGGTGTGTCGCACTAAGTAAAGTAAAAACCCTCTTATCTGGCGTTTCACCAACTGGCAAGCTCAAAAAACCAGCAGTTCTGATTTGCACAGGAAGTCCAGCTTATAGTGTGGTTAGTGCAATGTGTGCTTTGAGAGGGTATGTCTACACTACCACCCTAGTTCGAACTAGGGTGGTAGTGTAGACATACCCTCTCAAAGCACACATTGCACTAACCACACTATAAGCTGGACTTCCTGTGCAAATCAGAACTGCTGGTTTTTTGAGCTTGCCAGTTGGTGAAACGCCAGATAAGAGGGTTTTTACTTTACTTAGTGCGACACACCAATGTACCCCTCACTCTCCGTAAAAAAATAGTCAATTAGTCAACTTCCTGATAAGCTTAGGGTTCTCGTGTAGTTGAGTCGACTATTCTCATCTCTCTTCCCCCCTCCCACCCCACCCCGCTGCCTCAAGATCAGAAGCAGCAAGTGGGGGAGCAGGAGCCCATGCTGGGGGGAGCCGCAGTGCGGGGAGAGGCAGCAGTGCTATAGCTCCTCTTTGTAAATGCAGTAAGCATTTAAAAGGCCGAGCTGCAGCGGTCCAGACCCAGTGGGAGCAAGGACTGCTTCAGTCCAGGCTTGTGCTGGGTCCCGGACCTACCCCCGCTGCAGCTCTGCAGTTCAAATGTAGGAGGCTCCTACTACATTTAAACTGAAGAGACACCATGGCCCCTTATCGACTAATTGTGTATGGGATACAAATTGTATCCCATACACGATTAGTCATGTATTCGCTACTTAACATTATTCAATTGTTTACTGTATATAACTAAGAAACTAGTGCCAATTTGGTATTAACAGAAATAAGATTCTGGGTAAAAATCTGTAGTTGTTAAAATTAAACTTCAAGGAGACATTGCCATCTAGTGGCTTAAATTGTCAGCAAATTTGGATTGTATTCCTTGCATTACCACTTAATTTACATGTGGTCTTGGACTAATCATTGTGCTCAGTTTATCAGTCTTTTAAAAAGATAGTCAACAGTCCTCATAGGTTCCTCTATTTAGTTAATGTTTGTAAAGCATTTTGTATTTAGAAGAAAGATGCTGTAAATTCTAATGTAAATTCTAATGCTAGTGGAATAATAAATTACATTTTCTTAATTGCTTCTAGGTTATTGATATTTCCATGATTCTGGCCGAGGCAATCCGAAGAACACACAATGGTGAATCTGTGTCATACCTGTTCAGCCATGTTCCACTATAACTGCAAGAGATTAGTATTTTCCTATTGGTTGTATCCACCTGTCATTGTTCTTAAAGAATGCAACTCAACAATGAAATGACTCCCTCTGTAAAAAGCTTTAGATCTTGCATAATTAAAGGTTTTTTTTCATTTTCTAATTAATCTTTCTTCATTGTAAATGAGCAATGCAACTCCATCTTGCAAAATCTGTTACAAATAGGATTTTGGAAGCTTCAGTTCTTACCTGTGACTTATCCCTATAAGTAACTTTTTTGTTTTCTGTATTTGCCTGCAGCAAGAGGGTCAATACATTTCAAAACTTTTTTATATTTGTGGTGGCTGCCAAAAGGAGCCCAATTTTAAAATATTTCATATTTAGTTTATATTTAATAAGAAGTTGAATGGGCAATGAGGTATTTCTTCTGCTGTGTAATATTGAACCTTGTCAAGGGCTGTTAACTAAACATTGGGAAAAGGGATCAGATGTGTATTCCCTTAAGTTAAATATTTTTATACTTTTGCTTTTTACTTTGGCAGAAATCGTGTGGTAGCTTGATGCCCACCTACTTCATATACCTCATGATTCAAAATTGCTGGGCAAGTTCACTTTTTGTGGGGTCAGCATGGATGTAGATTAGAGATTAGTTGCTTGTGTTCTCTTCCTATTAAACTGCTGCTTCAAATGTCTAATCTCTAAAGCTGGGACCACAATCTCCACTTTTCTGCCTGTGGTAGTTTATAGAATTTCTGCCTTCAAAATGTTGGCAGAATTTACAATTAAATGTGTAATTTACAAGTAAATGTGTAATTCGTAGACATCTTTTATCTATTCATTGGCTTTGCAGTTAACTTACTACAGTTTGTTGAACTTTACATCTTCAGTTTTAACCAGAAGTCTATCACATTATAGATCTTTCCAATACAATTTGAGACTTCAATAATAAAGTTGTAGGGAACTAGTGGCACATTCACAGTATTCAGTGTGTCACATTTTGGAGCATATGAAATTGCAAAATTCAAATTGTGCGTGCTCTCTTTTTGCCCCTGGAAAGTTCAATCTTTCTGTTCTATATTGCTAGCTGCAGTTTTCATTTTTCCAGTTCATAGTTCCCCTATTCTCAAGGGGCTTGGATACTTAAACCATAGAATGTATTCAGAGCATACAAGGTATTGAAGTTTGGCAAGTTAAAGTAATATTCACATATCTAGATGAAGATAGAATATCCAATTTTCCACCAGATGTAGTTCATTTTCTATTTTATTTTTCATACCTTATAAATGATTTTTGTATAATTGTTGTATTGTGGGGATCAAAAAAGTAGCCTGATTTCTGCCAGTCTTACTGTATTATGGTATTACTTTAAACATGTTTATTTTTCTCTTGCCTCTTAGGCAGCCTGATATTTTTCCATTGTCTGCCTTGTATAATTCTAAGGTTGCTTTAGTTTATGCCAGCTCTCATGTACCTTTTCAGGGATTGTTGAAAAAAGATCCACTTGTACTGTCGTTGTTAGCAAGGAGAGGAATAATGGTGGAGAATATATCCATGTCAATAATCAAAAGAAAATGCAGTTCAGGTGTCTGTCTAATGAACTTCTAGACCTAGTAATTTTCAAATTTATTTTCAAATTTTATAATGTGACAGGATCAATCTGTTACCTGCCTGTTGCATACAATGTTTTCTATAGAATTATTTAACTTCTTGTATTGTTTAAGCTAAACAGCTCTAAAATTATCACATTGCAATTAAGTCTACCCCAAAACTATGGCTGATTACCGAAGTGTGACCAATTGAAAATTTTCTTTAACTTTTCTTTTGTTAGTACATTTAGTACCATAGACAATATCTGTTGCCTTGCTATGTCAGGGCTTTGTTACAAATGAAATGGACTGTTTTGCCAATAGTATGCTGTATTCTTTATTCTTAATAAATCTTAAAACTACTTGTGTTTACGGATTGAATGTTATTTTGTTTGTGGTATTGGTTTAGTTGATAATGCAGATTTTTTTTCATTTTTTCAATCTAAGCACAGAAAAGCATGGGCCCCTTGGGGGAAAAATAGTACAGAGTCCTATAATCAAAGACATTGTCATAAAGTATACACATATCAACTTAATTTTACACAGAAATGTTAATTTTGGTATTTTCAGACGAGAGCTTATTTAATTTTTAATAAAATATTTGAATACAGTATAGTAGTTCATAGGAGAGGGTTTTATTTTAAGAAATACAAGACTTTCTGCCACAATACACCTAAGTTTCCTCTAGGGTGTGTGCAGCTAGGGCTGGGGCCCTATGGCGACTACTGGAACTGGGGCAGTGCCGCTGGGGCAGGGGCTGTGGTGCTATTTTTAGTACCGGGTCCCTGGCTCCAGCCCCTGGTGCACAAGGCAGCCGTCCAGCCTGGGAGCAGCCTGGCAACCACCACGCGGAGCTGGGACCAGGGCATGGCAGGCAGCTGCTGGTGCTAGAGATGGGCTGCAGGGTGGCTGCTCCTGGGGCCAGGGTTGGAATTGGGCTGTGGTGCAGCTGCTCTTAGGGCCTGGACCCACTGCATCCTTGTTTACTGGCTCTGAGACCCCTGCCTCCTTCAGCCCTCTGCCAGCTCCCCCTTGCCTTCTAGCTCCCTACATGTCACTTCCCCAGCACCCCACTCCCTGCAACCCTAGTTGCTGGCAGCAGCTTCTCTGCCTCTTCAGGGAGCAGCCTGGCTCCCTACCCTGCCCTGCACACAGGCTGCCCCAGGAGCAGTGCTCCCTGGAGGAGCAGGTCTCGCCTCCCCACAAGGCAGCGTGGGCCGTTGTCTGGGATCAGGGCTTGGGGTCCCAGCAAGTGGGAGCTGGGTTGGAATCTCTGTGCTGGGAGAGTCTCCTGGGAATCAGCGCCACTGGTGGGTGCCACAGCATCATACAACTGAACAAGTGCACATGACCTCAATATTTGTGCATAAGACAAAACTCATTCTGCTCATTGATGTAAAATCTTAAAGGGAACACTGCAATACACCACATTTCCACATGGTTCGGTGACCAGATGTTCCATTTTTAACAGGATAGTCCTGTATTTAAGCCCTATGCCATGTGCCCTGTTAACTACAGGCAAATTGCCGCATATTTTCTACCTCAGCCCTGATTTCAGTACTGCCAGATCCTGCTGCTGGCCAGATCACTGCTCACCCGCTGCTCACCCATCAGTCACAAGGGGAATGGGCTTGAGAATGAGGGTGGGTGTGAAGAAAGCTGTAACACAGAGAGCTGGGGTGCTTCTGCTTGTCCATTAACATGGCCCTTGTCACGTGCTGGCTCTTTGCTAGCAGTCCTCTCCCCCTTCTCTTTCCTGTTGGCTGCACATTGGGAGGGCTCTCGGGAGCAGGAGATGACCCCAGGCAGGGAAGATGCAATTCCAGGTACTGAGTAAAGTGTGTCTGTTCCAGGAGCCTAGGAGGATGGAGAGCACTGGGCAGGGAGGGTTTGATCGGTCCCTTTCCCCCTGGCCCGTATGGGTACGTAGAGTTTCCAGTTGTCATTTTTGACCAAAAAGTCCAGTGACTGGACGCTAAAAGTCCAGTTGCCATCTGTAGGGACACCGGTGCAGATGTGTCCAGGCGGGCAGGAAAGGAGGTACTGTAAGAGAATTGTGGCACAGACTGGGCAGTAGGGGGCAGCAAGTGGCTGTGCCCAACTCTTTACTCCACCCAGAGTGTGCCTGTGCTGGAATCTCTCCTGTCACCTTCTGTAGCAGGAGCAGCATTGGCAGCAGCAGCTCAGGGATGGGCAGTGAGCATGCACTACCCCACTCCTGCTGCTGTTCTTGCCCCACACACTCTCTAGGCAGTGCCCCCACATTGCATGGCTGAGTAAGTAGGGCCTTGCATGCCCCTCCCTTCCCCCCATGTACTTGCTGTCTCACTGCTCGGGTCAGTCCACAGAAGGGTGTCCCCGACCAGAAGAATTCTTGTTCTTTGAGTGGCTGCTCGTGTCCATTCGAATTAGGTGTGCCACCCCAGACCCATCATAGCCCCCCCTTCCGATAGTCCGGCTCTGCCCCAGGCATCCCCCCATCAACCCAGTAGCGGCTGAATCAGGGACGCCTGCGGCAGAGCAGCTGGGGTGCTGCCAGGTTGGTCCCACAGCCCCGAGGGGCAGTGCTATGGGACCAACCTGGCAGCACCCCAGTTGCTCTGTCCCCGGCATCCCCGATTCACCTGCTGGTCAGTTTCAGCAGCGGCTGAATCAGGGAAGCCGGGCGCAGAGCAGCTCCAATTGTCCGGCTGCCTGGAGCACTTCCGTGTTTCCAATGGTGCCAGACCATCAGGAGTGCTGGAGCATTGGATGCCGGACCAATGGAGTTTTACTGTAATACTCTTTTGCTATTTTATCAGTTTTCCTTGCACTCCAGCCAACCAGAAATACCCATCTCCTACCCATATTGGACTTAAGCACACCTCATTTAAACCCCAGTCAAGTCTAAACAATAGGCAAGTCAATTAGCCACACCATCCAGCTCTTGAAAAGAGACAAAGAGCTGGTATTGTCTAAATCTGTATTCTGATAGTGCCTCTCTGCATTTTAATGGAGAAGTGGAACAGTAATTCTGTAGGTCACTTTTTAATAGTGTTCTCTTCCAGTGCACTGTGAATAAAGTGTTCTCTTCCTTTTCTGGTATGTACTTCGATAAAGTTATTTTTTAGGGAAGAGGCACCAATTGTACAACACAACTGAGTGGGTTAAGCACTTATTGCCATAGGTCTCAAATTGCTGAATCTTTTTTCTTTGTAATGCCATGTTATTTAATCCTGGTTTGCAGAAGCAAGCCCTGAATTAATTATGTAGCTCAATTTAAGTGTTTGTACGTGGCGGGGGTTGAGGCGTCTGTAGTTTGATCTGACTTACTAACGTTTCCTCTTTTGTGTATTGTCTTGAATATTTTTAGCTGTTATCAGTCAGGTCCTACAAGTTTCACAGTTATCTGCCATGACTGGTGGGGGTTGTTGTTAGTTTTCTATCCATTTCTCTTTGGGGTTCACATTGTGCATCTGTCTTCTTTGGTGTAAAGCTTTATTGTATATTTGTAAAAATGGTAGCAAGATATTTTTTTCCAGGCATTTGGTGACTGCCTGTTAAATCCCCTGGGTAAGTTCCATACTTTGAAACTTGCACCCAATGTGACATTATTACAGTAAATGGGTAAATAATAGCATTATGAAATCAGAAGTCCAAAGGAGGGGAAACTCCTGGTCCCCACCCCAACAGAGGCAGGTGCCTGTGTAGATGGGCACTCCTGAAACAACTTCTAGTTGCTCAGGGGTGCCCAAAGCCCCGATGGGCAAGATGTTGAGGGGACTCGGTTCTGTGCTCCCAGAAGGGGTGGGCCTCAGCTGGAAGGGGTGGCCTGGGCAACCAGCCCTTCACACTGTCCAGAGTATGCCACATTGCTCCCACCAGTCCTTAGAGACGCCCATAGCACACAGCACTCCAGTGGCAATTCCCACCAGCCCTTAGAGACGCCCATAGCACACAGCACTCCAGTGGCAATTTAAATGGCCCAGGACTCCACAGTGGTGTCAGCTAAGAGCTCCTGACCCCTTTGAATTGTTGGGCTGCAGGGTAGCTGCTCCTTGTGCCCCCTCCCCCCGTGTTGGCAGGCCTGCAGTTGCTCATATTTATCAGTTCCTCTGTGACTTGTGGCACAGCATGGGCATCCAGTGTCAAAGGCGGGGGAAAGCTTTGCCTTCCCAAACTGCAAGGCATGGCCCCGCCCACACCCTGCCCCCAGAATGCCTACTGCAGGTGTTCTGGGGGAAGAGTATTGCTTCCTCCAGCGCCTACCCTCTCCGTGCTCCAGGGCCACAAAGGCTGGGGGATATGTGAGTGTGTGCCCATGCTCCCCTTCCCTGTGGTGGGGGCTGGGAGGGGGCTTGGCTGCTGTGGGGTGCGGGGCCTCAGCAGAAGGGGTGGGGGTGGGGCTTGCCTCTGCCAGCCCTACCTTCACTGTCTGCCCATGTGGCACAGCAACTAATGAGCTATAAATCAGTTAGGCCTCCTATGGATTGGTCAGCCATCTTTCATGCATGTGTGCATGTGAATATGTTTTTGTCTCTTTTCTTGGTTGTGTCCACTTCCATGGAGGGAACAAATAGTCTCATGGTAAAATGGGGGCATTTTTTCTGCTGAGCAACTTTCATTTTCACAATAGAGAAGGAACAATTGGCCAAACATGGGCGCCAATGCTCACTTTTATGATTAGTGCCATGAATTCTTTGTCAAACCCTAAGGTCTGGATTGCTCTGCATTATCTCATCTATCCATATGACATATTGCATGGAATTTAATGTGTCTACCTCAGATGGCTGAAAAGTTGTGTTGCCCTGGTGTGATTGAACCTGTGATTCCCAGATGTGCTAGCAGCCTTATTTTCAGAGGTTCTGTGCACTCCCAGTTCTCGATGAATATGACGACTCAGTGAATCATGCGATGGTTTCAGCCCACTGAGCTAGCATGTATGCTCTCTGGCTTTCTAAAGGGCAATATTATTCTCTATGTTGTATGATGTTTGAAACATTTCTCACCTCACGTGGCGGAACTTTTTGTTTCGGTAATGTCACTAGACAGTTTCAGTTTACAGTGAATTGAAACTTCAATGACACATTCAATTTAGGGGGAAAAAAGTGAAATAAACTCAGCGTAACTATAGTGTTTAAAAGGAAGCTTTTTATACAGTATTTATAACTAGTGCACTAGTGGTTATATACTAAAGGGGTTATTTGCAAAGGTAATATCTTTGAAAGGCAGTGAGAGTTGGGTGTTTAGCCAACATTTATGCTTTTGAAAATCTTCCCTAAATCAATAGGCAGATGGCACAAAGCACTATAACATTTTTTAAATAATCATGTAACTCTTCAAAGATAATTAGCATTGTGACACTGACGGACCAGATGCTGCCAAA